ATGTAGCTATAAATAACAAGTAACCTGAAGAGAATAACATAACATGAGTACATAAATACAAGTACCTGAAGAGAATAACATAACATGAGCATAAATACAAGTACCTGAAGAGAATAACATTACACGAACATAAATACAAGTACCTGAAGAGAATAACATAACATGAGCATAAATACAAGTACCTGAAGAGAATAACATTACACGAACATAAATACAAGTACCTGAAGAGAATAACATAACATGAGCACAAATACAAGTACCTGAAGAGAATAACATAACATGAGCATAAAAACAAGTACCCGAAGAGAATAACATAACATGAGCATAAATACAAGTACCTGAAGAGAATAACATAACATGAGCATAAATACAAGTACCCGAAGAGAATAACATAACATGAGCATAAAAACAAGTACCTGAAGAGAATAACATAACATGAGCATAAAAACAAGTACCTGAAGATAATAACATAACATGAGCATAAATACAAGTACCTGAAGAGAATAACATAACATGAGCATAAATACCAGTACCTGAAGAGAATAACATAACATGAGCATAAATACAAGTACCTGAAGAGAATAACATAACATGAACATATGTTTAAGTACCTAAACATCTGTGATGGTCTCTGCTATACAGCTTTTCTGAATATTTCATCTGTGACATGAAAGTAGGAATAAAAAAATTCAGATAATTTATTACCTAGACAAAGATAATAAATACTATCAGGAGCGTATTCTTCCCCATTCGGTTTGCGGACTTCTTTTACGAACAGACACAGAGAATAGTTGAGCTCATCTGGCGAAAGCTGCAACAAGTCTGTTTTAAAGAGCTTGAGTTTTCGTGACTGGGATCCTTTCTCCAGCTGAAAGTTCTTTTGGACCACCCAGTGCTTCCAGGCTTTGACCCCAAATGTGAACTGTGTGATAAAAAAAAGAAGAGCAAACTCCATTCGTTTCCAATTTTAGGAAATCATATTAAGCATCTCATATCTATTACGTTGTTAGTTATTTAAAACGATTAAACATGACACCCTTTAGTTCTCATATCTATACACCTGGAAAAAAGTTAAGCACCCCTGTGTTTTTTTCAAGTGATTCAGATTCGACGTTCTTGTGACTGATTATAAATTACCATTCAATCTAAACGT